AACAACAACAACAACAACAACAACAACAACAACAACAACAACAACAACAACAAAGCACGACTTCATTATTTATACACATTGTTCAACTCTGTTACGATAACATGCGTACTACTAGATCTATGGAAGATACAAATTCGTGTTGATGATATTGTAAGCCATGGTTGGAAATATGGCAACAGCATTGTGTGCCTTTGGTTGGCTGATGGGCCATGACGTATCTGTTACGTCCTAGTGTCACGCCGTGGTGGAATCAGGCGCTCGTCAATTTTTGGGCATATTGTGAGGTTATTGGTAGCATCTTAAAGCCTGTTCATTTGCCTTGCTTTTGGTGGGGAAAAATGTCCACTTACGTTGAATAGAAATCGAAATATTTGCGATTGAAGGAGGTCAAGGTCACCTGGTTTCAGAGGTAAATTTAGCGAGAAAATGGCCCCCAAAGTTTGGTAATTTTCATAGCTTGAGAATCCTTGGAAACTAAGAATTTACATTTTTGTGTGTCTTTAATCAATGTTTTTCAGTCAAATTAACCACGAAAAAATGTGTTTTTATATGGATGTAGATCTAAAAAGTGTTGAACCAAATAAAGAAAATTTGAAATAAAAAATTGCCAACGTGCAGAAAAACGCCAATTTCTTTGATTTAATTAATTTGACGAGCGCCTGATTTCACCACGATGCCTCACCGGTTAATGTGTTAAAACCTACCCGAAACAAGAGGAGCCTAAACTATGGCAAACACAGCGCGCGGTGGGGTGGGAGAGGGGGAGGGAGGGGAGGGAGGGGAGGGAGGGGAGGGAGGAGACAGCTCTCTAGGCTTGTGTCAACACAGGGTCGGACCTTGTAATGTCAATAGGCTTACCCGGGGAGGATTCAGGATGCTGCTGCCTCAAACTCAACCCCTCCCTCCCCCCAAAAAGAAAAAAGGAAAAATCCCCATCCTGACCTCACCACTGTTAGCGTCATGATCATTCCTTCGCCACCCCTAGCCTACCACCACCACTTGCACAACGGAATCATCATCATCATCATCATCAGCATCATCATCATCATCATCATCATCATCATCATCATCATCATCATCATCATCA